CATGGCAGGCCCAGGGATAGAATCCCCAGCCCCTGCGCCTGCTTGCAGGTGCTTTAATCTGCTGAGCTATTTGGTTGGCTCTCATCCTTCAATATTAATCTTACTTTTAAAATCTAACTTTCCACAGTAAGTTTGTTATTTTAAAAAAAGTAAGAAATTTAAGTTTAAATTCTATTTTGCTATTACACAAGGTATAAAATTAGCTTTTGAAAAGTTTCAATTTACACTATAACCTAATACAACAGAATTTGTCACCAAAAAAACCAAGTAGTATGGTGCTGATCTAAATTTCAGTAGTCTTTTACCAAAGTACCCATAAGCTGATACACACTCCCATTGAGAATACTTCTATTTTATACTAAAGTCATAAAATATAAAATCCATTAAATGTATGACAGCAATAATTTTCTGGCACTGGATATTACTTTCATTTATTTTGCGGTACTGGGGATCAAACTTCAGATCCTGTGCTTGCCAGACAGGTACTTAAGCTGCTGAGCTACATCCCGAGCCCTAAGATACTAGAAATTTACCCAAGGGCCCTTGCACTGAGCTACCTCAGCTCTTTTTATTTTCTGAGACAGGGTCTCACTACGCTGCTAAATTGCCTAAGCTAGGCTCCAGTTTTCTATCTCCTTGTCTCAGCCTCCCAAGTACTGGGAATATGACCATGTGTCACCATACCCAGCTAATTTACTTATCTGTGAAGCTTAAAAATATAGACATTCTAAAACATGTGCCTGTAGATTTTATTTGCCTCTATGGTCCAATGTAAGACTATTAAATAAAAACTGGAACAAAGATGTGAACTTCAGATTATGCATAGAAATCATTTATTGAACTTTGAAACAGTAACAACAGACTTCCTGGCAAATAATTTTTAAAATGTACTTAACAAAGGATTTTTTTACATAGACATGACAATTTTTTTCTGATTCGAAATATGTTCTTTGAAGTCCTAAAACAAATTTGAAATAAAATTTATAAACCCATCAAATTGTATTTTAATTTTTATATAGATATATTAACATCACACACGTATTGCCAGATTTAGGAGAGCTACAAAGCAGAGTGTTTAACAGCTAAGTCTTCTTATAGAATCTACAAAATTGTATCACTCTTGCTTTACCACAACCTTTTCTTATGTGCTGTAGAAGCTTTGCTGCAGATGGGCACTCATACACTCCAAGGACACTCTAGAGAGCCAAGAACAGAAGGAAGAAACAGACATTAGAATGTGGTATTACAACAAACCCCAGAGTCCACAAAAGTACAGTAAAGCACACAGCCGTCTCTCAGTGTGATAGTGAGCCGACTGCTTTAGGGCTCATTTGGAAAACATGGCTATCATGAGCATTCTTTTGCCATTAAACTCTGTGACGAGGTTAGTAACAGCAATACATCACTAGACATTATACATACAGATAACTTTCTAGGCTTTAACAGAAAAAACAACTTGTTTTTTCATGTACAGCCCATAGTCTTCTGGCCTACTGCTGTGCTCTGTAGTGTGTGTCTCCATGCTAAACTATCTTTCTGACTTCTTGCTCCTCTTCTATCCTCTGTGGGTAGGGATCATCTCTCTCAGCAGAGTTCTAAGCTCCCTTCGTGGGCAGTGCTGTGTGGGGTGGTGAGGGGCACACAGGGAGCAGCTTCTCCGGGCCAGGTGCACAGACCCGTGCAGGGCTGCCTAGAAAGGTGGGGCTGTGGGTGCAGCAGTTACTCTATTATAAGGATGCCTGTTCAAAGGATAGGAAGTGAGAGTGTGTTATGAAAAATAATGAATGTAACAAAATGGTCTGAGTATCAAGAATGGAGAAGGGATTTAACTGATTATTTGGGGACCCTGTAAACATCAAGACCAGTTTAAGTAGATTCCTGAGGGTAGGAGCATGATGGAAGATAATCATTAAGAAAATAAATATATTGGGGCCAGGAATATAGCCCAGCCACACAGCACCTGCCTAGTAAGCATGAGGTGCTGAGTTCGATTCCTGGTGCCAAAAACCAAAAAAAAAGTAAGTACAAAGCATTGTATTTCAATTTTTGGCTAAAAAGATGCAGAGGAAAAGTAGCAGGAGACAGTATGTAGCAGCAGCCACGGAAAGGCTAGCGGTGTGCACCACATTCAGTTATCACTGCTTCTGTACTGTTTTCAGTGCACAGAATCAAAAGAGGTATTTTTAAAATACAAAATCATAATTATTACTTTCAATTCACAAGTAATAATACAGAATATTTAAATTCAGGTTTGATTTTATACCCCGTTTTTCCTTGTTCTTGAGAGATTTGGCTTCTGTCCCTAACATAATTACCCTTTCTGTAAGTTCCAAAATACTGCCATTAGAAAAGCAGTTTATGATCTCTGCAGTGCATCACCTAAAGTGCAGCTAAGATGCTACACAATGCAAATGAAATAGTATCTCATGTAGGTATATAAACTTGATGTACATATTTAGTTTTTAAAAGATTTCTTTCCTTTAAAATTTTATATTTGCACAAAGTAACTTCCAAAGCCAAAACAAAATATATTATAGCTGGAGACATTTGCTTTCTATCACTCCCATAATCATTTGTACTAGTTTTGCAGTTTTTATTGATACACGTGTGCAGTATATTTACACTGGCCGTCTACCTAAGTACTTACCTACCCACCTCCTATCCATCAAAGGGCTGCCTCATTTTAGTTCTTTCTGATTGGGTCTCGTGAGAGAGACCAGACTGTCTGTGCCTGTCCACTCACTTAATATTATGGTCCCAAGATCCGTCTGTCCTGCAAATGACTTAACTCAAACCTGTAGAGCTGAGTAGATTTACCATGCTCTTCCACCACATCTTCTCCCATCTGTCTGCTGATGGGCACCAAGGTTGTTTCGAGAGCTAAGACACTGCTTTCCATGGGGTCCTAACAGTTTATGTTCCCCCACACCCTTGCCAGTGCCTGTCTTCTGTACTAATGTTAGCTATTCTGGTTGCAGTAAGATGGATTCTTGGTGTGATGCGTATTTCTCTTCTGTCTAATGACAATGACTATCACTGCATGTACTTATCAGCTGTCTAGGGTTCTTTTGAAGAGTGTCTACTCAGTTTACTTGCCCATGTCTTAAAAGGAATGTTGGTTTTGGGTTTGTTTGTATAATCTACCTATTGGTCCTCTAACAGAAGTGTAGTTGGCAAAATTTTTCCCATTTTATAGGTTGTTTTCTTTGCTGTGCAGAAGCTTTTTAATTTGATATACTCAAGCCAGGGATATAGCTCAATGGTGTAAGCATCTGCCTGGCAAGCACAAGGTCCTGAGTTTGATCCCTTGTGCCAATAAAGGAATGAATGAATGAAATTGATGTACTCCCATGGTGCTTCTTGATATTATTTACTATACTACTGGAGTTCTGTTCAGAAAGTCCTTGCACATACCTACAGCTCCAAGTATTTCCACTTTGCTGTCTTTTTTTCCCCCTGTATTTTAGGGAAGGGTCAACAGGCTGTTCAGGGTCTCACTACTAGATCGGACTCATACTGATTCTCCCATTTACAGCCTCCTAAGTGCTGGGATTACATATGTGCGTCGCCAACTGCCCTCTCAGTGTGCCCTCAGGGTGGGGCCGGCACAGCACCACTTTGCTGTCTTGAAGCAGTTTTAAGGCCTTTGGCCCATTTAGATTTTGTCTTAGTACAGAAAGAGAGGTATGCTCTGACTTCATTTCACATGTGGATAGTTTTTCTAGTGCCATTTTTTTTTTTTTTTTTTTTTTTTTTTTGCGGAACCAGGGATTGAACTCAGGCCCTTGAGCTTGCCAGTGCCATTTGTTTAAGAGGCTGTCTTTTCTCCAACACATGTTTTTGGCTCCTTTGTCAGAATTTAGATGACTAAAAAAGTGCCTGGGGTTGTTTTTTCATCTTCAATTCTACTGACCCACAGGCCTATTCTTGTGCAACAGTATGCTATTTTTGTTATAGCTTCATGGTTTTGTAACTCGAAATCTGGAATTGTGATGCCTCTTGCTTTGTTTCTTTTGATCAGGATTTCTTGGGCTATTCTGGGTTTCTTCTGGCTCAATGTAAATTTTAAGATATTTTCTCTGTGAAACTTTTTGGGCATTTTAATAGACTGCACTAAATCTATAATTAGTTTTGGTAATAGGATCATTTTAACAATATTCCATCTATTCAAGAATAGGGAGTGTTCTTCCTCTTTTTGTGGTTTTGACACAGAATCTCGCTTTGTAGTTCAGGCTGGCTTTGAACTTAAAAGTGATTCCCCCCATCTCAGGCTCCTGAGGGCTGAGATTATAGGTGCATGCCAACAAGCCCAGCTTCTATTTTCTAACATCCTCTTCAATCTCTTCAGCATCTTCCACTTATGGATTAGGTTGGCTCCTAGGTATTTACGTTGCTTGCGTTTTTTTGTCTTGTTTTTGGTAGTACTGGGTAACCATGTTACTGTATTAGCAATATGCAACATGATTCCCCCCACTTTTTGCAGAACTGGGGACTGAGCCTAGGATCTCACACCCATAGCCTTTTCTGTATTTTACATTTTTTAAAATTTTGTTTCAATTATTTATTTATCTATTTGACACAGGTCTTTTTTAAATTTTGAGACAGAATCTTGTCAAATCAATAAATTGCCCAGGGTGGGGTCCAACTTGTGATCCACCTGCCTCAGCCTCCCAATGTGCTGGGATTGTATGTGTGCACTACCATATCCAGCCCCCATGATCATCTTGTCAGTTTCTTCTCAAAAATATAACCAAATATGCATACAAGTATTTATATGTCCACTTTCTTATAGAGAGGTATCAAGCTATATTATCCCCCTTACTTTCGTTACTTAGTATTTACTGCACTTTTCACCATCAGTGTCTAGACTTTCTTGTTTTGTAACTTCCCAACGGCCAACTGGTACATGCACATTTCCAGTCTTGGGCAATTAGACTCACAAGACATTTTATGCTTGCCAGTGTATCTCTGACAGACTGTTACAGTTTTGGATCATAAGGACATGCACATATGAATTTTAAATTTAGAAGAATGGAGAGCTTTCCTACCACTTCTACTGGCTGTCCCAAAAGCAATGTAACAGAATGTCTGCCAACCTGACAGGCGGGTATTTCTTTTGATATGGAGATCCGATTAACCCAAGATAATTTACTGAAAAGATGGTTCTGTTCCCTTTTGTTCTACAATGTGATTCTCAAATTATATACTGATGTGATTATTCTGGAGTTCTCTTTTTCTATTATTTGTCTATTCTTGAATGAAGAACACATTACCTTATAATAATTTTATTTAAAATCATTATTTGTTTAAGGGCCGGTCAAATAGCTCAGTGGATTAAAGCACCTGCAAGCAGGCACAAGGGCTGAGGGTTCAATCCCCAGGCCTGCAGTTGAGACTGGGTGTGGTGGCATGTGCCTGTAATCCCAGCTCTTAGGAGGCTGCAAACAGGAGAATCACTACAGGTCTGATCTAATAGTGAGACCCTGAACACCCTGTAGACTCTTCCCTAAAATACAAAAAAGAAAAAAAAATATTTGGTACAGGGTCTCACTACGCAGGTCAGACTCATAGTGATCCTCCTGCCTTAGCCCCCTCAGCACTGGGATTACAGGTGTGTGCTTGGTTTGGGGGCCAGCATGGCATGTGGTACAGGGGATTGAACCCAGGTCCTTGTGCTTGTGTGTGCTTGTCAGGGAGGTGCTTACACCACTGAGCTATCTTCCCATCCCTTTTATTATACCTTCATAACAAATCTTAACATGTGATAAAGCCCATCTCCTTTATTTTTCTTGAAAGTTTTCAGAAGACATTTTATTTATTTATTTATTTATTTATTTAGTGTGTGTGTGGCCAGTTCAGCCCACCAGGGGGCGGGGCGGGCTGGCATGTGGTGCTGGGGATTGAACTGTGGTCCCTGTGCTTTTGCTTAGCTTAGCTTGTTCTAAGTAGGTGCTTTAGACCACTGAGTCATCTCACCAGCCCGACATTTTATTTTGAAATGCTTAAAAGCTCAATTTGTTTCATGTGACATGTAGATGGCTTTGTATTTTTTGATGGTCATCAGTGCCAAGCCAGATTTTGCAATCCACAACACACGCGACAGAGCTTCTGCGTGCACAGCACCCCCAGGCCATGTGTCTTCCATTTACCCTACGTTTGGGGAGGATTTTCTGGAGTAGATGTTCCAAAGTCTCCA